AGTTAGGGCAATTTGAAATAAATAATGACAGCGTACGCAGCGCCCTCTAGATGTTACATGAAAATTAATACGAAATTATGATTTCCCACGTCAAAAAAACCCCGGGTACCGAATTTCGTGCAAATAACTTATTTTTTGCAAGAGTTATTTTCAAAAAGCGGACAAAAAAAATCTATTTCAACACCCCGTATCTCCGAAACGAAGCATTTTCAGACACAAGTTCATATGGACTTTTTTTCTTAAAATTGTCTCAGGAATAATTCACTCGAATATTTTAACGTACTTATGTTACACCCTGTATATTGATGAATATTCATCGTGAACATAACATATTGAAATTATTCGAAAAAAAGTAGCAGCCCTGATTAGTTTTCTATTCAAAGTCTGGAACTGTGTTTCTCTTGAATTTGAAAAAATATTCATTTCAGTCTTTTATACTCACAACTGCACTATCTCATTTATATTTGGGATCAGCCAATAAATCAACATCTGTATCTGTAGAGTAGGCCCACAGCACATTAACCACATGTGATCCAATGTACAACCCGAGGAGTTGTCCTCCTAGGTCATCGTCCATCCTGTCCTTTCCAGGAAGGTGGACGAGTCACTGGGAGACATCTCCTTTATATCGGCAGGTGTATCTAGGCCAAGGCTCGCCGAACACACACTCTCTTATTGACGAACCTCCGGGCACTCGCATAGCACATGCCTGACAGTCTCATCTTTCTGTTCACACATGCTGCATAGAGGTGTGTCCACTGGTCCCATATTATGGAGGTGTTTCCTTATTTGACAGTGGCCAGTCAGAAATCCTACTGTTAAGTATAGATTTTTCCTGGTCATCGCCAGGTATTTCTTCGGCACCAGCTTCCCAGGGTCGACCAGGCTGATCCTGGCAAGATTGCATCATTTGATTCCATCCCATCTCTTTAGGGATTGAGCATAATTGTAACATTTGGCTGGTTCCGTAATTGTCGAAGTCCTCAGGCCGTAGGTGCCACTGGGTCCTAAAATTCTTAGTCCAGCCGCTTCCTTGGCTAAGGAGTCGGCAATGCGATTACCTTTACTCCTGTCGTGCCCTTTAACCCACCTCAAGATAATGTTATTATCTATCGAGGCTTTGGCTAAATCTTGGTGACACTCTAGTGCTAGCCTTGAGATTACACGTTGTCTGTTCAAGGCTAATAAGGCTTGTCTGCTGTCAGTGCAGATTATTATGTTTTTACCAGAAATTCCTTTCCTGGTTATTTCTTTTGTGGCGATTGAGATACCAGCCAGTTCTGTTTTGACCACGCTGGTATTTTTTCCCATTCCCCACTTAATCCTTAGGCTTAGTGCATATTGCATTTGTAGCATCTTACAATGTGTACACCAGCCATGCGCAATTATACCATGGCCATTAACGCGACCTCCTTAACGTACAGGTCCAGAGGGGTCGGACCCGTAATTAATTCCATTGCCGCGGTTGGTGTTGTTCTCATGGCTTCTGTGATGTTTAAATAAGCCAGTCGCTGTATTTGATATAATTTTTGGATGGCCGTTGCTTGTAGAACTTTCGGTCCCCATGCAATGGCTCCGTACGTTAACATAGGTCTTATTATTACAGTGTAGATCCAGGTGACCACACGGGGTGAAAGACCCTATGCGCGTCTTACCGTCCTCCGACCTCTACCTCATAAGCCACATATGCTCTTTTTGCTTTACTCTGTAGGTGAAAGTTCCATATTAGCTTACTGTCAAGGATAGTACCAAGGTATTTCACCTCTTCAGAAAGGTTAGTTTGCTTTTGAGGATTTCGGGGGGTTTTGAGTCCGATGAACTTCTTTTCCTGGTGAAAAGGACCATCTCAGTCTTCTCAATAAATCAACAATAAAACCTTTGAAATATTTACAAACTGAACATATTTATTAAATGCATATATAAATTATCGTACTCAGAACCAACAGTGAATTTGTATAAAACAGTGAGGATAACAGTGTTCCATGTAAGTGAAATTTTACCTTTTTCATTTACTCTATTGTGTAGGAATCTTGTGAATGAATTCAGTTACATGACGAATGTTTAGAATACAAGATGAATAGAAAGAAGTGTACTTTATATAATTCAGTGTTCGAGTATTTGTTTCGAAAGTATGTTTCTTTCGTGTAATTCAATTTTTATGTGAAAGTAGCTGTTTCTAGAAGGCTTTTTCCTCCAGTTTGTGTCTGAAAGTTACTTCTTTGCATGATATACACATTTCCGTATAGAATAACTTTTTTGAAATTGGTTATTTCCTTTCTTTTCTTGGATGATTCCCACATTTTTTGTATCAAGATGAAGAAGTAGAAAGCCAAATCTTTCTCTCCCAGAAAATTTGTCGTTTCATTCATTACATCAGAGCAAGGCGATATTCGTCGTGGAATTTTCAAGAGGTGGTGAGATGAATAAAGTCCGAAAGGGAAGAAAAAAATATCTTCATTTTCTCTATAGACTCTATCCAGAACACTCTGTTGAGATTGTAGTGGAATGATACCTCTCTACTCTTTCAATCTAAAAATTGTGGCGGCTTGCCGCATTCAGACAGAAATTTTGAGCGGACAAGTACAGAAAGCTGTGATTCTTGGTTCATTGCCTCTACTTAGGATACATGTTTCTGGAACCCAATGATCACTTATCTAACGGTGTGGGAAATGGTGATTGATTCATGATTCTGTTGTGTCTTTCGGAATGTGTCGAAGCTTCAGGGATAGGACCCGACTAGTTCAATCTTTGGAGAGAAAAAAAAATATAAGTAAAGTGGACTTGGTGGAGCTGTATCAACTTGACGTGATGGTGCGCCTTCATAGGGATTTGTATCCTAAATCGTGTGTTATACTGGTATGTATAACTACGGCCTCCCACCAATTGGGAGGCCGTAGACTTTTGAGTTTGGATTGTCTTCATAACAAAACGGTATTTACTGTCTAGAGCCTGTTAGGTCATCAGGAGTTCGAATTGTTTCCTTATATGGTCTTCGAACATGAGAAATGAAAAAAGACTGATAATAGTTCAAACATTGGATATTGGTGTATGTCTGATCCAATTTTTCACATATTTCTTACAGAGTTAGATTACTGTCATTAACTCAGTTCCGATTTTTATACAGACACCTTTCATAACGATGTTTAATGGCATCGATTCTTTTTCACTAAAATAGGGTAACTTAATTTCTAATTTATGAAAATATTCCTATACAATAATCTCCCTCTTGAAGATGATCACTTGGTGATCAAAAAGGTATCGAGGTGTTGAAATAACGGTTTGGTATTGAGATAAAACTCCAGTAATATTCATATATGCGGCTTCTTCTAAGCCTGTGTTCCTTCATGTAGATGATCTCAGATTGGGACCACTTGATATTATGTTGATGAGTCCAAATATGCTCAGATATTCCCGATTTTCTGGATTCTCTTCTGCACTCGCAGGGTGTCCGGTAAATGCAATTCTTGGAATTGCAGTCCATGTTTGGTGGCCTGGTTTTCGTGAGACTGCTACGGAAAGTGTTTCCGGATCTGAAGCAGGTTCTGATATTGTACTTGGACCCAATTCTTCCTATCCTTTCGTAGAATCCTCTGATGTAGGGAAATGCAAGTACTGGTTATGACGGCTCTGATGTCTTTAAGCCAAAGTCTGTTCCACCCTCACATTGAAGTAACCATTCCATTGAAGATCACTTTTGATGATGCCTAGTTCTTTTTCGAGACCTTCCTTCGTACTACAGAGCCCAAAAGTACGGTCTACTAGAGTCTTGATGATTCCTATTCCAGTCGATTGATGGTGTTTGGATTCGTGGTTTAGATACTATCCCGTATGAATGGGTTTCCGATACTCCGATACTGTTCACCAATACGTCTAAGAATGGCAATTCGTTGTGGACTTCCTTCTCCATTGTGGAAGTTATGGAAGGTCTTATGCTATTGATGTGCTTCAGACAGACGACTAGTTCTATATTTCCATGGTTCCATATATATAGGTTTCATCAGTCAGACTAAGCGAGGCATGAGAACTATGAAGAGTGATAAAGGTCCCTTTCCAAATAGCCTATTATTCAGCTTCTAATGAATCACTCTATTAAATTACCAGGAACTATTGCAAGAAAATTTCTTACCTATTTCTATCAGAAATCATGGATGTGTGCTCAAAAGTGAAAGTGTACCCTGTTGGATATAAAAAAGGCCATTTTCATAGTTAGGAATTGGTTTACTTTATCTTCTCAAGACGCTAACTTTGTTGGTGAATCGTGCGCGATAAGAGTATTGCACTTCTAGTATTTTGGAGTGTTTGTTGTGGAATTTAATAACTGTTTTATGAGAAAGAATGAATGAATGTAGAACTAAAATGAAATCGACATCGAATATGACTCGGAAAAATTATCAAAAAAAAAAGTATTTATGCAGAATTCGATTCTTTTATAATCTATCAACAGACGTAGACATTTGAATCAATCTCGATAGTCACGTCTAGAGTTTTTGACAGAACAAAAAATGATTACTTAATATATCAGGATTTTTACTTAAAATACTATATATTGTAACAAACTTGTACTTCCAAATCTTAGAAATGGATTGAACTTCAATTTTCCAGAATATTTTCCAGTTTTTATGCGATATAATAAGACACAACAGGGATCTTGTACAGGTATGAGATATTGATTTGAATTCATTGTGGTCCACTCACCTATATTCCGGAACTCCAGCTGTGAAGACATAACTCATACCACCGGCTGCACAAAACAGTACTGGTAGAGATATTAGAACATATGTTAAAATTTGAAAAGTTCCTAGTTCTCCCAATTCTTCTAGTACATCATCCAAATCTACACTACAACGCCGCATTGTGAATGAACTGAAAGAAACGAAAATCAAAAAGGCGATCTTCGGATTCAAGAATCGTGTGTACGACCAACTATGAGTGAAACGAATATTGCCTCTTTTCGGGCAATATTCGTTTCACCCGGAGCTGAAAAACTCGCCACGAATTTTGTCTTGCACTCATTGTCGAGAAGTGTTATATCCAGCAGACTAGTTTCAATAAATTCGAAACTTTTCATTAACACAACGGATTCAACATCTCCCAGAGCATAGCGCAACATGGATGTCTCGTCAATATCGTAGAAGTGCTGTAGGTGGTGACAGAGCACTCTTAGGGTCGTGTTATGTCGATGGATATATGCTGTACTTGCTGTCAAAAATCTTTATACCCATCATGCGGTATCACTATTATGATTTTTTCCAAGGTTCCGCTGATCGAGCTCGGTCCCCAAAGTTTTTATACATTCGAGAGAGCGCGCAAACATCAACCAATGCCAACTACACAAACTGTAGAGTACGTGATTACTTCCATGTATCATGTGCCCCAAGCAGATGCAGTGAGCCAAGAATGACAGCCTTCTGCATTTGCACAGCCAAGATTTTGAGATTCGAGAGTAGAGAGGGCATAATTCAACCAAAGACTCCAATAATCAGAACAATCTTTTTAACAGAGTGGTCTGAAGAAGGTCTGAGAGTTCGATTAGAAAATTATGATGATGCATCTGTTTTTGCTCCTCTTTTCTGATGGTAGAAAAGAACTACATCAGGCTTATGAACCTGTATGAGCTCGATGGTGAGAAATGAATAGCGTAGGGAAACACCGGTATCTAGAAACACTGGTGTCTACGGCACCGTAAAAGTGCTGTCGATGGTAGTGAAGCACTCTTACGCCGATCGATTCATGTCGACAGCAAATACATTAGGGTCACAGACGCCTCGCGATAGACCCTGCACCTTGTCTCAGGAGCCTCTATACCCATCACACGACTGCGTTAGACTGAAGTGTTGAAGACACCATCCTGGTAGGCCATATGAAAGCGAAGGACAAGTATTTTGATGAGCCGAGATTTTCATTGTTGTTGAAGAAGACCCCAT